TATCGATCAGCTGCCTCTTGCACACACCCTCCTGGGGATGTGCCCGCAACCAAGGTACATGCCCTTGACTGGAATTGAACCTGGGACCCTTCAGTCCGCAGGCCGACGCTCTATCCACTGAGCCAAACCGGTTAGGGCCAAAGATATTCTTAAGTGAAACTGATTTTTTTTTTTTTTACTGTGGGTGCATGGCAATGAAGAATATAATGACTTCCCATATAATTTGATAACACTGACTTAAGCTATTCTAAGGAAGGCACCAGCAGTTTTATGCACCATTGTTCTTGTACCATCAGAGCAAATGTCAACACAATGAAAAAGGCAAAAACATTTGGCTCTATTATGAAAATATATGGCCTAACAAACCCCAAAAGAGGTTTCAGGCTCTCAGAGGTCTATGTACTCCACTTTGAGAACTGGTGCTTTAACCTCAAAGTGCTCAGCTTACCTTAAGAGGTCACCTGCCAGCTGCATTTAGAAAGGCAGCATCTATATATATAAAAGGCTAATGTGCAAAGTGTCCCCTCAGGAGTTGGACCGAGAGACTGGGAGTTCAATCGCTCGCTATGATGTGCACTGACCACCAGGGGGCGGCGCAGAATGAGGGAAGGAAGGGCCCAGCTGGCAGCCAGAGGCCCCAATCGGCCCTGATCGCTGGCCAGGCCTAGGGACCCTACCCGTGCACAAGTTTCGTGCACCGGGCCTCTAATGGTAAAAGAACAGAATGGAGATTTGGTATCAAAAAGATCTGGTTTCAAATCTCAATACTCCCCCATACTAACTGTGTTACTAGTTAGTATATCTAAGGTTCTTATTCTAAACTCTCAGTTTAACTTTCCCCTATAATAATGGGGAAATTATATACACACAGACACAGACTCCAACTTGAGAGGAGAAAAAAAATGACCTGCCTTGCATGCAAATGCCAGCAGTTTAAAATGTCTATGACTTAAGGTAGGTTTTTAAATTTTGTTTAACAATATCCATTATTAGCAAAAGTATGCAAAAATGGATTCTCTGGTGAGGTTGCAAATTTATACATTCTGAAGAACAATGTGATAATATGAATCAAAATCAGGCTTAACCTTTAACTCAGCAATGCTGCTTCTAGCAACCTACTTAAAAAAATTAAGAAATAGGGATGTTCATCACAATGTCATATATAACAGCAATAGGTCGAAAACAATCTAGATATTTAAAATGAAATAGGTAAAAAAAAAAAAGATGGCTTAGCAAGGTACCAGATATGGTTAGAAATACATCTATGCTATTTGCAGCTGTGTGACCCTGGACCAGTAACCTAACCTATCTGTATCTCACTTGTGTCATCTGTAAATTACCTGACATGGTAACAGTGAAGATAAAATAAAATGAAAGAAAAAAAGTCCTAACATTTAGGAAATCCCTCAGTGCAAGATAGCTGCTACTAGTAATAGAATACCAGGCAATTAGCAATTATTAAAGTTATATATTTACACATGTTGACAAAGAAGCAAATCATAAACTATTAAGGAAAAACATAGGGTATATAACTTAATGTATGGTATAATCCTATTCTTGTAAAATAAAAATGTGTGTTTATACCTACATGTAGAAAGAAGTCTTAAAAGATATACAGAAAATGGTTAATGTGTTCATTCTGGGTAATGGAATTGAGTTGTTTTTAAATTATTTAACAATTGATTTTATCATGAAAATGTGTTACTTTTGTAAAAATTTAAAAGTCTATGAAAATTTTAAACATTACCGATTACCCAATCATGATACGGTATTTTCAAATTTTACAGAAGTTTGCTTTAATTTGGACTTCAGCTTTCTTGCTCCTTTCTCAGACAGGGAGATGGGAAACTATTCTTAAGATGTTACCACATTCTTAGGGAATTACTAGACGACAACTCGCATATCAAAAAAGCTAATACCAAAGACATAACACCCAAGTTAAAATAAGAAATCTATCCTACCTTCAGGAAATCCAGGTCCTCTTTGTGCCTGTAGAAAGGGTCGTACTCTTTTGGGTCATAATGCTCTATGAATGCACTTCCCTACGGGAAGGAAATAAGCCACACATAAGAATAAGAGGTGCACAATTCATTCTGAGCATAGCAGGACTCAAGAGTCAAAACACAAACCCATTTTAATGCTTCTGAATGGCCATCAGTAACAAGTGCAAAAGGAAAGGGAAGACCAGATTCTAAGTTAAATTTAATGTATCCAAGTGATAAACACTATAGTGACAGGCAGAATTTACTTAAAATTCGTAAGATTTTAATAAAGAATTTTGGAACACTAAAAGATTTGGGAATTTGTTTCTTAATGCCTACTAGTCAAATATCTCAGATCTCTTAAAAATGCCAAGAGACCATAAATATCTATAGCTTTGTAAGTAATAGAATTCCAGAAAAAAATATATATGTTCTGAACCTAGAGTTCAAAATTTTTTAATTGGTGTATAAAATGAACAATTACCTGAGTACAACAAAGACAACTGATTCTGATGTACACATTTAAATCCAGAACTAACCCTCCTCCTCCATCTGTTCCACATGCCCTGGATTTAAGAGTAGTGTGTGTTGTAATAAAATATAAATTACTCATATATAGAGTGGGGAGGGGCAGGCTGTTTGAATGATTATAAATAAAGATAACCATCGTTTTTAAACCAACTGGGGGGGGTGTCAAATGATCTCTTAATACCTTTTTATTTACGTATTTTAAGAAGGTATCTAATTCCTGGTGTCTCCTTTTTTTAATCTTCTTATGTGAACAAACTTTCTCCATGATTTTCTTCTGGAGAGGACCTGCCACATGGTCAACCCATCTTTTGTATAACATCTCTTTTCTTCTTGTATTTAAGAAGTCATGATGCTGTAAATACTTTTCTAATTCCTAGTAAACAGGGGTGTAAGAGATAAACATGTTATCTGAAATCTTTCTTGTTCTAAAATTTAAACTTCATTTCTATTCCTAAGAATAGCCCACAAAGTCACTCATTAATTCAGTCATTTACTTGGCTTCTACTGTGTGACCCACACTATAGTGGGAAAAGGAATAATGGATAAATTAGACAACATGCCAGCTGTCCACAGAGAGACACACTACAAAACAAAGCCACAAAACAACTTGGAGGGACAATATAGCAAGATATATATTTTTTTTCCCAAAAAACTATCTAGACATGCTTTGAATAATTGTAAAGGTAGTGTTTATTAAAATACATTTCATTTTCAAAATTAAGCTATCAGCTGTTAACGTGTGTATACATTTTTTGGGACACCCTGTATATGTAGTTAAAAACAGGGACCCAAACAGATACTTGTATAGCAGTGTTCACTGCAGCATTATTCACAATAGCCAAAAGGTAGGATGGAAGCAAAGCAAGTGCCCATCAACAGATGAATGTATCAACAAAGCGTGGCATCTACATACAATGGAATAATACACAGCTATAAAAAGGGGAGGGAGTTCTGAGACCTGCTACCACATAAAGGAACCTTGAAAACAATATGCTAAGTGAAATAAGCCATAAAAGGACCAATAATGTAGGATTCCACTTATGTAAAATATCTAGACTAGGCAAACTGATAGAGACAGAAAGTGAATTAGAGGTCAGCAGAGGTTTGGGGAGGGAAGGAAGGAGAGTTATTATTTAATGAGGACAAAGTTTCTGATAGGGTGATGAGAGTTTTGGAAATAGATAGTGGTGATGGCTGCACAAGTAAATGTGAGTTTACTGAATTGTACACTTAAAATGGTTTAAAAATAGCAAATTTTATGCTATGTATATTTTACCACAATGGAAAAAATATTTTTAAGATTTTTAAATATTCCCAAAGTGAGAGGCATTTCAGATGGGCCTTAAAGAATGAAGAGTTATCTAGGAAGAGAAGAGATGACAGAGAAAGTGGAAGAAGAATATTCCATGGGGAAAAAGAGATAAAGCAAAGAGACAGGAGTATAGCACAGCCTAGTCCAAATGGCCTGCGAAGAAAATGCCTGGTTTAGGCTATAAACTCAATCATTCTCACAAAACTTGTTTTTATCGAGCCAATGAAATCATGTAATTATTGGGATCAACAACATAACATTTAAAGTGTGTGTGTGTGTGGGGGGGGAGCCCTGAGAGCTTCCTACTTTGTAGGGATTACCCCTTCCAAACTTCAGGTCATAGCACAACCATCCCTTTTTAAACAACTCTGAAGAAAACCCTTAAAAACAAAAATGGGTTACCTATCCCAGTGTTTAGTGGACATTCACATGGACATTCACCTTGTCTTATAATTAAACCCATCCTGCTATAGTTCAAGCCTTGTTCTTACCTAGGTTTACATGAGTAATTCTTGGTTGCTGTGTACCAATAACAGCTCTTAAAGCTCTTACCAATACATAGTGACTCCATCAAAGCCCCACTAAGATGAAGGAACAAGTGAGAAGGTACCTGTGAAAGAATCCCCACAAAGTATAGGAAAAGAGGAAGTCAATTAAAGCAACCTCAGAGGCCCCTTAAATTTAATCCCAGGGGCTAATGAGTGTTTTTTAATTTTATTTTTTAAAACTTGTATAATGATGATGAACTACATGTAAAATGAGAAGAAAAATTAAAAATATTTTTATTGATTTCAGAGAGGAAGGGAGAGGGAGAGAAAGAGATAGAAACATCAATGATGAGAAAGAATCATCGATGGGCTTCCCCCTGTACGCCCCACACTGGGGATCGAGCCTGCAACTCAGGCATGTGCCCTGACCTGGAATTGAACCATGACCTCCTGGTTCATAGGTAGACGCTCAACTACTGAGCCACGCCAGCCGGGCAAGAAAGAAAATTAATTGAAACATTCTATAGTTAATTCTTACCTTATTTATGTAATTTTCTCTATATAATATTGATTTAATAGCTGCATTAATATCCTCTCTGGCAAATGCCTAAAATGACAATGAAATTTTGAAAGTCAAATCTCAAAAAACAAAGTGTTAATACTATTGTGACTTATATTTTACATGACAGACATATCTCTGGAAAATTCTCTGTAAATCCAGTTTTTATACCTAAAACGATATCATAAAGTACTATTTAAAGAGTATTTGAATCTTTCTGCTTTCAGTTAAACTCATTCTAGGGCAAAAAAAAAAAATTAACTATAATGACAGAAAGCAAATCCGAGATTGTCTTGATGGCTGGCAGGGAGGGAGGGATTGCCAAGGACACAATGAAGAAACTTCGGGAATATTGACTGTTCGTTACCTTGATTGTGGTGATGGTTTCGTGTGGGCATACATGTTAAAATTTATCAGACTGTACACTTTAAATATATGCAATGGATTGTATGTATATCACTTATACCTTTATAAAGCTGTTTAGAAAAAATAACAATCTTAAAAAACACACAATATGTATAAATTGTGTGCTTCAAGAGAAACTCTGTAACTTTGCTATATTAGAAAAGGTATATAATCCATGACCCATGATTCCACCTTGAAGAAGCTGGAAAACCAAGAGCAAACACAAAGGTAGTAAACAGGAGAGGGTAAACAGAAAACATAGAAAAAATATTACATTTCACACAAGCCAGTTCTCAATGCAACTACCCAAGTATAAACTTGCAGGCGCCGCACCCTGTACCTCCACGAAAGGAAGTGGCTGCGGTTCCAACCATTCTTTTGAGCTCTTGAGTCTGGGAGGCTTCTCAGTGAGCAGATCTTCGCTGTCTACACTATTCATGGTGGTTCCCAAATAGCAGAGACCCTGGAAAAACTAAAACGTTAGCTTATTTGGTAACGAGAAGTCCTCATCTCATCCTCTTCTGTTGAATGAATCGTCAATGCTTGTGACCACCGACGGGCAGGAGCGGATTCGGAACATGAGCGCTCCATCCACACTGTCCCTGGCAAGGGCCTGCGCCGCGGCTTCGGATCACGTCCCCAGAACCAGGGCGGTTCCCTCTACCCGGACCCGCGTCCCCCGAACTCCAGGCTTCCCACCTACCCCGACCACACAGCCCCTTAGCAACAGTGTGGCAACCGAAGCCTGGCTGCTAGGAGTCCTACCGCCGCAGTTTTCTGACCCAAGGTCCCGAGTTGCTACTTTCTGGCTACTGGAGCGCACAGCGGCCGGGCTGCCTGGAGAATCGAGGGGCTTTCAGACAAACACGTGCTTGTCCCCAGGGCCCCGCCTCCAGGACCGTGTCTCTGGGGGACGCTGCCTTAGGGCTCGCGCGGTGAACCTCCGGCACGGGGGCTGCGACCCTGC